GTCGCATTGGGCATTTTGCTTGGTGAGTTTTTATTAGACTAGAACATTATACTATAAAAATGTAAGTACATTGTACGGTCATTAGAATAGTAGTTCTGATAAATAAAGACAAAATTGCTTAAAAAAAAAAAATAATAAAAAAATAAAAGTTGAATACTGATCTTATAAAAAAGTTAGTAATATATATATTTTTCGAGGTCCTCTTTTTTATACTCTTAATTTAAAGCTATTTGGAATTTTTTAATCTAGTTTAAATTCTTATTTTTTTTATTTTCTTCACATGACATATGTTTTTACATTTCAAGTTCAGAATACAGAATGCTGTAAAAGGGTGAATTGTGGCACAAAATGATTTTTTTCTGCAATAGATCAAGGTGGGTCGGAAAAGATCTAAAAGATCTAACAGATCTGTCAGATCTGCCGGATATGTCAGATCTGTCAGATCTGTCAGATCTGTTTGATATGTTGGATATGTTATATCTGTTGAATATGTTAGATATGTTAGATACGTTACATAGGTTATATTTATTATATACGTTAGACATGTTAGATATTTTCTATCTGTTAGATAAGTTAGATAGGTTATATATATTAGATAGAAGTAGCGAATTAGATATAGCTGTAAAATGTATATAAGGACCAAGAGTTTGCTTTGAATAAAGACACATCTCACATATTGAGCTTTTAATTAACACAAGTCATCGCATATAATTCATACATTTGTTTTCTCAATTTCCCAATTATAAACTATCTCATAACCCGTGATCCCGAATTAGAGCTTCGTGACTTAGTCTAGAGCTCTATTTGGCCCTAATAACTCGGACCAAGTCTTTTTACGCCCTTTTTCGTGCCTTCCACATTTAGGGTTCAGATAGAGTTTGGTAGTTTATTGTGCCGTAGAGTATTAATTTAGTTTAGTTTAGCCTTAGTAGATTTCCGTAATCGACATTAGGTGTCGATTTAGCCCTCACAACACGCATAAAAAATGCATGACAGATCCTCGATTTTGATTGGCTAACGACCATAGATCTTCAAAATTTTATAATCCTTTTTGATATAAATTTTGTACAAAAGGATATTTAAATTTGTACAAAGTGGCATTTGATTTATACAAAATAACATTCAATTTCGTACAAAAGGACATTTAATTTCGTACAAAGTGATATTTAAATCTGTACAAAATAAAAATTAAAATAAGTTTGATTAAATCGTGATATCTCATGATCTAGTAATCCAATTTAGATGATTTTGGTACCATTTGAATAGTCTCATCGAGAGGCTTCGGATGGTACTAAACTCATCTAAGTTGGTTTACTAGATCACGAGATATCCTGATTTAATAAAACTTATTTTAATTATCATTTTGTATAAATTGAAATGTCACTTTGTACAAATTTAAATGTCAATTTGTATGAAATTGAATGTCACTTTGTACGAAATTGAATGTCACTTTGTACGAAATTGAATGTCACTTTGTACGAAATTAAATATTCTTTTGTACGAAATTGAAGTCAAAGGGATATAATTACAAAAAAGTAAGCCCATGTTATGGTAAAATTGGCCTGTCGTTCTTAGCTCATTTTTTGAGCGGCACCTAGGTTCAATGATAAAGCAATACATAAAATTTTTTTACGAAAATCTTCTTCATTTAGTCAAATAAAAAATGTGGCTTGTCATGAGTAAAGCTCAAAGCCATTAAAGTTACAGGTTTACAGTATGTCCAAATAAATTTTTAATAGGCATTATCTGGGTTCAATAGCTATTATTATTATTTTCGGCTTAGCCGGTTAGTTATCCTGTGATCCAGTAATCCAATTTGGATGATAATTGATCACGAGATAGCTAATCGGCTATAGTCATCTGATCTCGCAATAATGATCACACTGTCACTTTGTAGACAGGCTTCTCAAGATATTTATATGTTATTTATTTATATTTTAGAAGATACATATTGATATTCCTAATTCATTCATTAATAAAAATCTGCCAAAATAAAATATATTGTTTTATAAATACCATATAATATTACGATGATAATAAATGTAGAATCAATATAAAATAATATATCATTCGTTGTTAGTAAATACTGTACAATAAACTTCACCACTATGTTTACTCTTTGCTGTTGCAACAGTATTTTCCATAGATGCAAAACGTAATGTTATCAATACTGAATGATCCAATCCTGATTTTTCAGTAGGCAGACCTTTAACCTCAAAACTACCCAATTTTTTCATTCCAGGTTCATTACAATACGTTGCATTATATTCTGTGGTATAAAAAAATTGAAACAATATAGAAGTTTGATCCGGATAAACTGGCACCAAACTATCAGAAAATTCTTCATTAACATCCACTTCTGTCCCTTTTCTAGCTAATAAATTAAACTTTTGTATTCGGCCATTAGATCTCTTGTGTGATGGTGGATCTCCAGTTTTCTAATATTAATAAATTTTTTTAAAAAAATTGTACTAAAGGATTAATGAATAGCATAATAGTTTTAAATGGTTTAATTACCCAAAGAGAAGAAATTAGAACCCCATATGACCATTTTAATACTCTCGTAATCACAATCTTCATATCAAGTTCATATTCACATGCATCCGACACAACTGCTGTAGCAGGATTAGGTGGAACTTTATAAAAGAAAATTTGTATAATTTTTAATTCTTAATTTATACTTTTTTTTTTTTTTTTAAAAAAAAAGGAGACGAGTATTACTGTAATAAACGTACCTGCTACTATCACTTGATTTTCAAATCTTTCTTTAATTCTAGATTGTAAATACTTCGACTCACCAAAACCTCTCACTAAAAATAGTACTGAACAATTTGAACACTTTGACAATTGTTCTCTAATTAACCTTAAAATTTTTGCAATGTCTGGATCGAAAAAGAATTTTACAGTATCAAAGTCAAAATCAATAATCTATTCCTCTTCTTCCAATCTAGATCTTTCTGATCCAGTGATGTATTGCTTAAGCGCTGGGCATTTTTTCTCAATGTCCAGTTCAATGTCTTTGAACTCGGACCTTTTACCGGAGAATGAGATTTTAATTTCAGGGCAAAAATATTTGTATATCAAATAATTAACCTGATTATAGTTCTTCTCCTTTAGCATTTTCATTGCAGATTTACCTACTCTTTCCTCTAAAACTTTTAGAAATTCGCCGTCTACATAAGTACCACCACAAAAATCACCTGTGCGCTCGGTTGTTTCCGCAATTCGATTATTTGACAATAGTTTTCTAACTGTTAAATCCATGGTTCCTCCTCCACAATCAACAACTAAGTATGTTGCTAAGTTGATTGCAGGATGTTATTCATAACGTAATTAAGATAACTAAAAAAAATAAAAAATAAAAAAATCTGATACATACATCCTGTAGTTAAATTTAGTTCTTTTAATTTATTCATGCAATGAATTGAAGCAGCTTCTGCTAAAATTTAAAGTATTCAATTAGACAAATTTCACATAATATGCGTGTTAAATTTTTTCCTTACGTTCAGTAGTGAATTGAAGATTTAATGTGCCGATATTTTGGATCAAGCCAGCATTGTATATACATCTTCTCATAATTGTTTTTGAATTTTCATTGAATTCTAAAAATGAATTAGTATTCGCATATAGGTACGTATATAGGTGTGTATATACTTAAAATTATGATAAATTACCAGCCGGTACAGTAAAGACAAGTCACACATTTCTATAAAAATCTATTCCAGGCCAATGTTTGTCTATCTCCTGTTTTATGGTTTACCGTAATAAAATAATAATTAAATTAAATCATAATGTATAATAGGAATCTACTACCATCATACCTTTCCTATAAAAAAGTTAATTTTAATAATATAACAATATTTATCATTAAATAAAAAAAATATATGTTACCTATTTCGTGGAGATAATCAGTTATCGCTTTTTCAAAAGTAATACTAGGCAGTAATTTTGGTCTTTTGCTTTTTGAGGCATCTCCCAAGTAGAATTTAAAGTATTTTACCGGTTTTGGTAAATTTAATTTTTTTCTTCTTGAAGGTTCCAAACTTAATGTACCAGCTTCCCAATTAACAACTTCTCTATAAGATTTGTCATATTGTAATACTGTATTAGTTTTACTAGGGCTTTTGAAATTTCCCCAATCTTCATTTACTAAAACTTTAATTTTTGCTTTATTATCTTGAATATAATCGTAAGCAAAGCCTAACGAAAGTATGTAGTTAGTAAAGGTTTAAAATTGCATGTAATATTTAAATGTTTACCAACCAGAATATGTAGTACCGAAATCTTTTAAATTTAACAGATTATATTAGAAAATATTTTATTAGTAAATAATTAAATAAATGCGTGCAAAAAAAAAGATCTTTATAATTTTTGTCCCGATGAATTTTGAGATTATTTTAATTTAAAAACGAAAAAGTTTGAAGTTCTTTTCTATTTATAGTCACTCACTATACATACCTACGCCAACCACTATGCGTAAATCCTCTATATCGGGTTGTTCATATTCTATTGTATAAATAGAAGCTTGAAAATAATGAATCTCCATGCCAAAAAAAAAAAAAAATCAGGAGTGAAGGAACAAGCGTATATGTTAAAATTAGAGCAAAGCTTTACGAATATATTTAAATATTGATCAGTGTTGTACATTTTGTGTGCCTGTATCCATCTAGCCTATATATGAATAACCTTTATTAATGGTTATTAATTAAACTTAATTCTTTGTTGGAACTGTGAGACACTGTCATATTAAAATTAATGCATAGTATCATTTGATTTTCTTAATTTAGAAATGAGATATCAAAACTCCGAATACTGTATATTAGTATTTTATTAACCTTTATTAATTTTCCTAATTTAATATTACTGCATATTAGTATTTTGGGGTGTTCTCAAGTAGCACACTCGATATGATAGCAATTAATTGAGATAGTGCACAACCATTATGGCGTTATTAATTAGACTATTTTTTGAGAACCAATAGTATGGGTAATAATATAATTGAACTATGCTCATATATCTTCACAATATGATAAATTTATGATTGTGTATTGATCAAGTATTATGATTAATTTACAAATCAAAATAAATAAAATTTACGAATCACGATTTCAAAATAATTACGTCACTAATTTAATTTGAAATCGGAAACTATGAGCATTAGGTTTGAATCACCCTATTGGAATAATTAATACAATTGATTCGTTAACCTATTTTTTTACTAAAAAAATTTACCCTCAGACCCGTTCCTGACAGGTTAATTAAGGTGCCTGAGAACACCCTTAATAACAACCTTTATTAATTTTCCTAATTTAAAAATAGGATATCAAAACTCCAAAAACTGTATATTTGTATTTTAATAACCTTTATTAATTTTCCTAATTTAGAAATGGGATATCAAAACTCCGAATACTGTGTGTTAGTATTTTAATAACCTTTATTATTAATGATTAAAGTTCTTAGTTATATACGCATGTGCCTTTATTGTTGGAATTGTGAGACACTGTTCTATATTAATTTAATGCATAGTGATAGAATTATTTGATTTTCCTAATTTAGAAATGGAATATCAAATTCTGAATACTGCACATTAGTACTTTAATAACCTTTATTAACAATTGTTGCAGATGATCGTGAAATCCGGATCATATATTTTTTTAGGCTTTTTTTGAATCTGGACTAGTATTTAGTGTTAAGGTTTATAATAAAAGAGTATAAGTAGGTTTGTTAGTGTTATGAGGGCTTATATTTTTATATTAAAGCACTAGATTTCACGATGATCCAATTTTACCATAATCCGCGACAATAATTATAGTTCTTGGTTACGTATTTATTTCGTGCCTTTATTGCTGGAACTGATATCCACCGATTTGATTTTTAGGGGTCTTTTTTTGATAAATGGTTACACAACCTTTTGCTATTAAGTAACGTAAAGATAACAAACAAAATATTCAATAAACCCAATTTTTTAGCCTTTATATGAGATAAACAAGCAATAAATACTAAAAAAACAACTACACTAAGCGTAAAAGAAAGCACTAACACTAGTTGTTGAAGCGTTCGGGTATATTCGGGTAGTGAACGATCGGTTTGCCATTCGAACGATCGGTTGTATAATGGGTAAGGGCGAATTCGGAAGTAATTTTTCAGGAAAACAGCCTTTTTAACCTACTGTTAGCTAATAATTAAGCATGTAGATATTGCAATATTCTACACACTTAATTATGGCTTCAAAGTAAGTTTAAAAGACCGTTTTTGTAAAAACTCACCTTGTAATAAATTTTAACGACAAATAATTCTCAATTATGATTGGCTAATTTTGGGGTTAAACCAAATCGGTGGATATGAGACACTGTCCTATATTGAATTTAATGCAAAGTACCATTTGATTTTCTAATTTGGATGTGGGATTTTAAGTTTGGATCAAAGTTCCGACACATTTTATGTGCTTTAATTTGTTTTTTTAAAAATATACCGTATAGTCATGAAATAATGCACATGGGCGTTATTTTGAACCTCGGCCTGAATTAAGCTTAATTTAGGCCGAAATTCGAAATTACACCCCTGCGTGTTATTTCGCGACTATACGGTAATAAAATGGAAGTCGAAGAAAATCAATCCAATCTATATGTTTATAATCATGAAATTATCTTAAAAAATCAAGTAACATTTAAACAGCAACTCGAAAATAATGAGAAGTTAAAGAATATAAAAAATTTAACGAAGATGATCTGCAATTTTTAAAGTTTTTAGAAGATTTGCAAACTTCCACGCAGACACAGCAACAATTCTTATTAAACCAACAAAATTTATTTAAAAAACAACCTTCGCAATGGCAAGAACAGCTTCCTTTACAACAACAACTTATACTACAAGGTCAACAACCTTTAGATTAGAACCAACTATTTACAAAACAAATACAATAACTACAACAATTACAAGAACCTTTAGAACAGCAGAAAGATTTTTTGATAAGTCAAGAATCATTCTTACAAGTCATTCAGCAATCATCAAACCAACTACATGTTGTTTTAACTCATCAACAAACTACGCAACAACAACAAAATCCCATAAACCTTTTACAAGCTTTCAATAAAATTCTATCAGACCAAGAACAATTCATAAACCAACACCAACAGCTTATACAAGAAAAGCAAAATTCTGTGAATGTGCAAATTAATAAAGCAAACTGTCTCGACTGTGAAAATGATTATGTAATTACTAGAAAAGATGTTTATAATGCATATATTCAAAGACACCAAGATCATACTTACCTGACAAACGGTCACCTAAAAGCCATTCTCGTTCCTAATAACGTAAATGATGCGATAGAATCAGAAAATAATGATCATGGATGGCCAAATTTATTTTGGTCCAATTCCAATCAGCTTCAAGACCATCAAAATCTTCAATCTGAGTATCAATATCTTAAAACAAATTATGATAAACTTCAAAAAAATTCTCAAAAATACCAGAATGATTTGTTAAAAACATAAAATTTAAAGATGACCATATAAATAATCTGAAAAAAACTAATGATGATTTAAAAAAAGAAGCTATAAAATATCAATTGGCCTTAGGTCATGCAACAGGTTCTCACTTAGAAAGTCAAGAAACTGACAGCGCAGACCAACTATCAAAGGATATCCTTACTTTACATAACAGTTTAGATACATTTTGTGGCCTTAAAAGAGGTGTTGAGATTTATGAATCGGAAGTAAAGGAACTCTTAAAAAGATTTGGTCGTCTCCTAATCGGTGATATACGAAATAATAAAAATTTAATTTCTGGTTTATTAGAACGTCATGTGATTGAAACGGTCATTGATAAATGTAAAGAATATTTTAAAGAGAATAACAAGGATGACGAACAAGATAATGATCAAAGATTGGAAGCCAAAATAGTTAAGACAACAGATCAGTTATTGAAGCTGGTAGATTTGGTTTCAGAGAATTGAATTGGGACTAATGAAGTAAGTAAGGCTACTACAACAAAATTATGGCAACAAGTTTACAGCGTTCTTGGGAATCGAGGATTTAGCAACATTAAAGAAAATAAGAAGCATCAATTAATTGTAAACTTGGGAACAGAAGTTGCGGAGCTAATGAATCGTTATCGTAAATTTAAGGATCAAAAAAATTTTGTAGAGAACGAAAAAATGATAGACGAAATTGTTAAGCAAATTGTTAATATATTTCTGTTTAGATTAAAAGTACAAGAACCCGTCGTCGCTGACTAGAAATTTTTTGAAAACAAGGCAAATATCAATACCATAATGATGGATGCATCTGTAGATAGTGGTGTTACGGGTAAACAATGACTTTCGTCAAAGAAAAACCCAACTCAGAAGGTAGCCACTATGTATATCATCTAAAGCGATTCGGGATTCTGTTTACAAGAATAAGTATTTCTTTATATTCGGGCCCTTTTGTTTATTAGGAAAGAACCAACCAACTTCATTACATTGTTTTCGATCCTTTATTATTACTTTGACCTAAACTATTACATCATACTTCGATCATATGATCGTTAAACTCTTATATTACCATAATTGATCTTATTACTGATCCCTTAAAATTATCATGCATCTTCTTATCTTACCTCGATAAACTTTCCGCATTACCGATTATTACGTAATTGATCGCAGTTTGATCTAATGTTTATAATTCCAATTAATCTTACCCGGATCATGTGCACCACGTGCACACGACAACTTATTCTTTCCTTCTTTCTTCGATTCGAAGCCATATGCGAAGATTCCATATACATATACAATCTATATTATTCTATTATTTATTTATTATTTATTTATTTATTTTATTTTATTTTTGTTTTACTTTCGTTTAACTTTATTATACTCTTAGAGATCCAAATCGATCCCTTTTACTAAGTATATTGCATACTTATTTTCACTGTGATAGTGGTGAGCTTGGGAATGTATATGTCGATGTTTGCTCATTTCCGGTAATTGGATCTAATCTTTGTGAGGCCGAAGAAGAAAATAAAAATTTGAAAGTAATCTTTCAAGCACAAATTATTCCCACTAACCCATATTAAACGAATAATGAATCCTTCTTTCTTTTATTTTTATTTTATTGTTAGTGTTTGAAATTAAATTAATTAATAAATTATATATCAATAAATAGAACTAACGATTATTATAAACCTGTTATAATTGAGTCATAAATTTGCTGCTTGTTTAAGTAAATATTTGTATTGAATGCATTCAATATGGAGTAGATTGAAGAAGAGTTAACTCAGTGATCATCACAACATCACATGACAAGTGTTCAGCCTAAGCTAGGGTTAGGTTAGTGTTAGGGTTAGGGTTAGAGTTAGGCCAGTTTGTTTTAATTCTGGTAAACAAATTACGTCATTATATGTTTATCATGTAATCGTCGATCACTGAGTTAACTGTTCTTCAAGTGTCCCGCAATATGTATATATTATGTCCACTTCGTGGATAATAACTAATTTATTCCCAGGTTCTTATTATACTTCCATACTTTTTTTTTAATAAAGTGACATAATTCACATAGTATAAATTTCATTTAAAAAGAAATTCAATTTGAAAAAAATTTACAATTTTACTTTTGTCATGTCAACTTTTATATCTTCTCATGAGTTAATAGAAACTAATACTATACCAAATGCATCAAATGAACATGAAAGTGTTGATAGAACAGAAGATAATATTCAATGGTATATAAAAAATTTAAAAATTAAAAACACTGATGCTTGCACACAGAAGTGGGTTCGAATCTTACAAAATTATCATAAAAAAAAGAATATTTTGTATGATATTCAAACCTTAACTAACAAAGAGCAACTTAAGCATGAATTATGTAAATTTTTTGCTAATATTAAATGCCAAGATGGTAAACCTTATATGGTTAAATCAATTGTTTCAGCTTATACTTCTCTTAGATGCTTTTTATTAAAAACTTCAGTAATCAAAAATATCAACATCAATGATCAATTTCAATTTCTAATTTTATATCAAGTTGTAAATGGAAAGTGTATTGAACTACAAGATCAAGGATATGGTAAAATTGTTCAATCAAAAGGATTATCTCAAGAAGAAATTCATCAGATTCTATTATATCTTAATTCAGGTGAACAATTGGTATTATGACTTACCTGGAAAGTATTTTTCTGGAATACATACTTATTAGGATTGCGTGGTGGTGATCATTATCGAATTTTATTAAATTCTTTTGATTTTCAACTGGATGGAAGCTTGATTTTTACAATTGGATGTGAAAAAATAATCTGAGTGGGCTTAATAGTCGAAATAGATATGGAAAATTTTCTAGCTGTTGTATTCATATTCTTGTAGATTCACCTAATAATGAATTTAAACTAGTTCAAGATCTTCATAATTATATAAGCTTATGTCTATCAGATGCATGTGAAAAATTTTATTTACAGTTAACAAAAAATTTACAAAGAGATTCAAGATGGAAACTGGTTTCTTAAAACTGGACTTGGTTGATATACATTAGCAACTATAATGAATGATATTGCACAAGCTTCAAAAATCAATATAACTGATCAATGAATTACCAACCATTCTAGAAGAAGAACTGCTATACAGCTTTTGTTAGATCTCAATATAAATAAACATGAGATTATGCAATTTTCTGGTTATTGCTCAACTAATAGTTTATAATTTTATAAAGTTCCCAATGGCTTAAAAATACTGCATTATTGATAAATGTAATTCAAGTTCCAACTCAAGAATCTCAAGCTTTAACCAATGATGAATCTCAAGCCTTAATTGATAAAGAATCTTAAGCCTTAACCAATGAAGAATCTCAAATCTTATCTGATGAAGTGCTTCAAATTTTAGCTTGTGAGAAATTTCAAACGTTAACTCAAAAAAAATTGCAGATTTCAACACAAAAAAACATCTAAATTAAAAAAAATTTTAAAACTGACGGAAAAAGAAATTCAATTAAAATTGACCAGGCCATTTCATTCACCACTTCAAACACTTCAAGACAAAACACAAAATGTTGTAAAGACTAAAGATGGAACTACAAATATTTTTGAATTTCATAATTCTGGTGATGTTTATATTACGTTTAAATAGTAATTACATTTAAATAGTTAATACTATATAGCAATAATATTGCTTTTACAAATAAATATATTATATGTAGTTCAAGTTTAAAAGCATTGTAATTAATCAATTATTCAAAAATGGTATTGCGCTTAATGTAAAGAATTTTAAATAGTTATATGTATAATTTAAAAAACTTAATGTTAAAAAAAGTATTTTGTCACAGCTTATACAATTTTAAATAGTTACTACTTTATGTTTATCTTGATTTAATGTCTGGCCAGATCAAACAATTTTAAAATTCCAGATCAGCATGAATTTGAGATCTGGACTATAAGTGAGAAAAAAAAGTATGGAAGTATAAATAAGAGCTGGGGAATAAATTTTTTTTTTGGATCACATATTAGACTTGCATTATTGATATACATTGCATACATCATCTAGAGCGTAGAATCGATAAAAAATTATCCAAACATCAATCAAAATTTCAAGTACCGAAATAAACTTTACCTACCTAATATTGCCACCAAAATCATGTACTTAATCGGGGTTTAAATTTATTTTCTGATGTTAAATTAAATAATTGATACAATAATGATGACATTGATTAATAATAATTATAATAATAATAAAAGATTAGAGTCCATAAAGATTGAAATCAAATTTAATTTTTAAATTTGAATTTTTATAGGCTGAATTTGAATTAATTTGAATAAATTTATATGAATTCGAATCAATTCGAATTTATGAATATTCATTGATTCGCATTATAGGAGGTGCTAATATTTTCTAATGATTAACTGCTGTATAGTGCAGTTTTATATTAAACAGTTAACTATAAGGTAGCAGCACAATGTAGTTGTACTAAAACCAGGAACAGAAATATGGTTGAAGTCTAATTGATAAATTATACAATTATATTTACTAACCTAACATTATAAATATATTCAGTATCATTCAAATTAATATCTTATTATATAAAGTACCTATTTCTTCACAAAATAGTACTCAGTAATATAGTGGCTAACAGTAGCAGTCATTATAATTACTTAATTATGCACCATAGATATGTTATATTAATTACATATAAAGCATAAAATGTAGCCATATTGTCATATCGCTATAATGAAATTTATATAATCAAAGGCTTGAGGAAGTTTTTGCTATTTTAAAGCTAAAGTACTATTAGAATAGTGTTAACTAAAGTTTCTATTTTTCTAAAGATACAAAGCCATTTGGCTCGGAAGACTAGAATGATGGCTATCTGATTTAAATTCTTCAGATAATAACTCCAAGTATAGACATTTAACATAATAATTAGGAATAGTGAATTATATGATTTTATATATAGTTGTTAGATGAAACCTTGAGATTTTATGCTGACAAAATGCAAAACTTAGTTTTATCTTTCGTCAACTAATTCTCAAATGATGAAATAATGATAGGTAATAAAACTGGCGAAAGGTGATGAAACTGATAAAAGGTAACAAAACTGATAAAACTGCAAAGGGTATAAAACTAATAAAAGATAAAAACAAAAGCAAGTATAAGTAAGTGTGTCACTGGCTCCTACATTTATATCTATATAAAACTAAAATTTAAAATATGCAATTATATCTATTTTAATAAGTAACATAAGAAGTAATTTATCAATTAAGTAAATTAGCACAATTAAGATTGTTTCACATATTTCTGTATATTGATATCCTATTGGCTAAATTAATAAAAGATTAAAATTAATAAGAGTTATGTATATACGTACATACATTAGAGTTGTGCCCCAAACCCCTTTTGCACATTATGATATTACTACACAGTTTGGGTTTGGAATTTAGAATTTCTATTTAATTTGGGTCATGGCTAAAACCCAAATATAAGTCTCATTTTGTTCGATAGTATCAAACTCAAAAACTAATCAAATTTGCTAGTACAAATAGCAATATGTATATGTGTATCTAATATCAATATTAAAATGGCAAATTGACAACTTTTTAACAAACAAAAACATAATTTTAAGTAATATTTCTTTATTTAGATGTCATATTATTATATATATATATTTTAAAGTATTTTGCACACGGTATTATGAGGCTGTGTTGTATCACAAAGACCCTAGATTTTAAATTAATAAAAATAAACATCTCTTGAATATTAACTTGCCCTTAAAACCCATT